GGGCCCAGGCGCCGGGCTTGCCTGGCCCCTCCCTCTCCCAGCGATGGGGGGCACTCACTGGCAGAAGTGCAGGCACTCCAGGAGGGCAGGTGGTAGGGGGCGGTGGAGCCATAGAAAATGCTGACGTCCTGGGGGGCCAGGAACTCGGCGAAGGTGGCTCCCTTGAAGACGTCCCTCTTGCAGCGCAGGATGAAGGCAGCCTGGTCGGAGATGTAGAGGATCTTGCCGGTGACGAAGGAGACAGCCACGGCAAAGGTGTCCTGCGGGGATGGGGGCAGGGAGAGAGAGGAGGTGAGTTGGGAGCTGGCATTGGGGGACCTGGGGGACACTCTCCGGGGTGGGGGGGGGCACTCACTGGCAGAAGTGCAGGCACTGCAGGAGGGCAGGTGGCAGGGGGCGGTGGAGCCATAGAAAATGCTGACGTCCTGGGGGGCCAGGAACTCGGCGAAGGTGGCTCCCTGGAAGACGTCCCTCTTGCAGCGCAGGATGAAGGCAGCCTGGTCGGAGATGTAGAGGATCTTGCCGGTGACGAAGGAGACAGCCACGGCAAAGGTGTCCTGCGGGGATGGGGCAGGGAGAGAGAGAGGAGGTGAGTTGGGAGATGGCACTGGGGTACCTGGGGGTCACTCTCTGGGGAGGGCAGGGCGCAGGTGGGGGGGCACAGGACTTGCAGGGGATAGAGGCAAGGTGGCCTGGATGGGGGCATCTCACGGGTTCATAAGGGCTAGCAGGGAGGCCTGGGGAGGCAGCGGTCCCGGGAGTTGGGGCACCATGCGGGAGTGGGCAGGGGCACTCACTGGATTCTTGAGGGTGTACTCGGAGGTGATGCTCTCCAGCTCCTCGATGGTGTAGCTGGAGACGTCCAGGGCGCAGGGCTGGCCCTCATCAATGGTCCATTGCTGGTAGTAGTCGTGGCTGAGGGGGGGGGCAGGGAGGCCTGGGGAGGCAGCGGTCCCGGGAGTTGGGGCACCATGCGGGAGTGGGCAGGGGCACTCACTGGATTCTTGAGGGTGTACTCGGAGGTGATGCTCTCCAGCTCCTCGATGGTGTAGCTGGAGACGTCCAGGGCGCAGGGCTGGCCCTCATCAATGGTCCATTGCTGGTAGTAGTCGTGGCTGAGGGGGGGGCGACCTGGCCTGCCTGCACCAGCCCTAGCTCCCCTGCACCAGCCCAGCCCCCCAACCTGCCCGAACAGGGCACAGCTCCCCCGCACCAGCCCAGCACCTCGTACCTTGGACCTGCTTGACGCAGGACAGCGCATACTGCAGGGTGGCCAGGGTGCCCGACTGACCCTTGCCGCGCTTTTCCGAGGGCAGCCGGATCTTCATCTCCTTCAGCGCTTTCATCAGCTCCTTCTGGGTCTTCACTCGCGCCGATTGCTCACTGCTGCAAGGGCCAGGCAAGGAAAGGCCAGTGAGCCACGGGAGACAGTGCCCCACCCCTCACGCCATGAGGGACACGGGACAGTGCCAAGACACGCTCCCTCTGCTGCTGGAGGGCAGCCCCGCACTGTGGATGCCAGGGAGAGGAAAGGACTTTCCCTGGGGCATGTTGGAAGTCGGTGGCAAACACAGGAAGAGAACCCAGGAGTCCTGGCTCACAGATTCCCCTGCTGTAACCACCAGCCCCCATTCTGCTCCCAGAGCTGGGGAAGAGATCCCAGGAGTCCTGGTTTCCAGCTCCCTTACTCTAACCACTAGCCCCCACTGCCCTCTTTACTCCTGTGTGATTCTGCACAGTCTGGCTTCCCCAGAGGCGAAAGGAGCCACGTGCTGCACAACGTGATGCATGTGAGGGATGGATCCCGCCAGGGCTTTGCGCCCCCCAGCCTACCTGCAGCCGCTGGTGGAGGGGTTGTCCTGCTCGGAGCTGGTGCTCAGCAGGCTGTAGGCGATGGAACTGCTGGGGGGCGACAGGCTCTGGGAGTTGGTGCTGTGGGGAGAGAGAGACGGAGCTGGCACATCAGGGTGCCCACTCTAAGCTCCCAGCAGGAGGCACCAGCACAGGCAGTCCCCACCCCCAGGCATGAACAGGCAGAGAGGAGCTGCCCGCCCCCCGCCTCCTCTTCCCAGGGTGGGACAGCCAGGGAATGGACATGAATTCCATCCCCTGCCCTTTGCCAGCATGTCCTGCCCCACCAGGCCCGGCTCCTGGGCACCAGGGTCCACAAACATGGCAAGTCCAGCACAGACCCAGCCCACACTCCTCCACACCCAGAGACCAGGGCCCATAAGCCAGGAGCCAGCCCATGCCCCCGCGGCCCACTAGCCACCCCCCCATACCTTTTGCTGCTCTCGGTTGTCTCCAGCAGCGCTGAGTCCTTGCCGTTCCCACTGCTGCTGTGGTCGCTGCGCAGGGAATCGTGGCTTTGCGACTCGTTGCCACTGGAACCGTTGCTATTGGCGTGCCCCTCGCGGGACTCGGGTGCGCCGGGGGGCTCCTGAGCCAGCCCCACCAACATTGCCCCCGCTGCTGCCCTCAAAGGATACCTGCCTCTGCTCACAGGTGGTGCTCATGATCGGGGGAGAACCGGGGACATCACCCGGCCCTCAGGAACAGGGGTGCGTGGGGGTGTTCGGCGGCTGGGGTGGGAGACAGACCTGAGCAGAGAAATCGTAGGCTGTACCTGCAAGAGCAGAGACACACAGGCAGTTTAGACTGGGGTGGGGGCCCTGCTGCACTGGAAAACCCCTCTTTGGGCACTTCTGGCCCTGAACTGGCTCCCTCCAAGCAGCGCCTGTCAGGCCACCTCTTCCCCATGGCAGGGGGCTGGGAAAGGCCACTGCCCGGCCCACCCCGGTGGCAGGAGAGCTGCCCAGCCAGCCAGCTCATCCCTCCCCTCCCACCCCCAGCTACACTCACGCCTGCCACCAGCACTGGGCCATGGCTCCTAAACTCCCCCCATGCCCTGAGCCCAGCCAGCCCCAGCATTCACACACAGGGATGCAAAGCTACTCTCCATCAAACACTGGCACAAGTAGGAGGGCTTATTACACAACAAACACACACTACTAAGAGACAGTTGCTGCCCACAGCTGGGGAGTGAAGCCAGAAGTCCTAGCTTCCCCTGCTCTAACCATTAGATGCCACTCCCCTCTCTTATGACAACTGGGCCTATAAATTTACTCTAAAGTGAAAAATGAAAGCTTATAAGACGTGGCCACAACTAGCGTGCATGGAAAAGGTGCAAGCAGGCAGTGGATGCGATGTACCTTGACTTTAGCAAAGCTTTTGATACAGTCTCCCAGAGTATTCTTGCCAGCAAGTTAAGGAAGTATGGATAAATGGGGGTTAGAAAGCCAGCTAGATTGTTGGGCTCAACAGGTAGTGAGCAACAGCTCAAAGTCTGGTACACATTCTGGAGGGGTAGGGATAGGGTCCAGAGTGACTGGAGGATTAGGCCAAAATAAATCCGATGAGGTTCAACAAGGACAAGTGTAGAGTCCTGCACATGAGATGGAAGAATCCCAAGCATTGTTACAGGCTGGGACCGATTGGCTAAGTAGCAGTTTGGTAGAAAAGGACCTGGGGATTACAGTGGATGAGAAGCTGGATATGAGTCAACAGTGTGTCCTTGTAGCCAAGAAGGCTAATGGAATACATATTAGGGTGCATGGAGGAGGAACATGTGTCAGCAGATCTAGAGAAGTGATTATTCCCCTTTATTCGGCACTGGGGAGGCTACATCTGGAGTACTGTGTCCAGTTCTGCCCCCCCCCCCCCCCCCCAACTTTGTTCTCCTTTGAAAGCCATCCAGACCTTCACTCTTCTGAAACTTAGTAGGGGTTTGGGTGACCTGAGTAAAGAGGAGAGGCTAAGGGATCTGGATTTATTTAGTCTGCACAAGAGAAGAATGAGGGGCTCTCAAGGGGGGTTCCAAAGAGGATGTTCTCAATGGTGACAGATGACAGAAGGAGGAGCAATGGTCTCAAGTTGCAGTGCCGGAGGTCTAGGTTGGATATTAGAAAATACTATTTCACTAGGGCTGTGAAAATACTATTTCACTGCGTCCCTTTTCCGTAAAAGGGATGCAAATTAGACATATCGCAATTGCAAATGAAGCGGGGATTTAAATCCCCCCCCCCCCGCTTCATTTGCATAAACATGGCTGCTGCTTTTTTCCAGCTCGGAGCTTTGCCGGAAAAAAGCGCCAGTCTAGATGGGGATCTTTCGGAAAATAAAGCCTTTTCCAAAAGATCCCTTATTCCTTATTCTAAGAGGGATCCCCACAGTCTCCTGCAATCCCAGACCTCCTCCATCCTAACCCTGAAAGATGGCCCAGCCAGCCCAGAGGGACCTGGCTGCCTCACTGCCTGGGATGCCTGTGCCCGCCAGGTTCTTTTCTTCTCTCGCCTCCTTTTTCTACTAGAGATTTGGCTTTGGCACTAAGGCTGCAACATTGCTGCCAACCCTGGACCAACAGGGGGCTCCAAGAGGTGTCCCAAAGAGCCCTACGCGGTCGCCGGGTCTCAGCATGGCTGACAGACCAGCCGTGAGGTTGAGTCATTGCCAGAAGCTGCATTTTCTGCACGTGTCTTGCTATGTCTCCTAGGAAAAAGGATCTGACCCTCCAGCAGCCACGGTGCCAGCTCCACCCCATCTCACTTAACTTCTCCCCCTCTCCAAAGGTGTTTGGTGCTGGTCTTTGATAAGGTCAAATAAGGGGGTTTATCCTCCAAAAAGCTCTGTGGCTAATGGAAAGGGGAGCTAAGGTTATGACTCAAATAAAGGTCTATTTTAATACTACAATTCTAATGCTCTCACTGGGTCCCCCCCCCCCTTCTTTCCTGTGTCTTTAAAATGTTCAAGATCTTTTATTAGTGGGTTTGCCAGGGTGAGAGGCAGGCCGAGGTCTGTGGGTACTAGCATCAAAATCTTCCCTTCATTCCATCTCAATTAGCACGCCTCCCAGAGTCGGGGAGAGAACCCAGGAGTCGTGGCTCATAATCCATTGCCTCCTTCCCATGGCATCACCCCCAAGAGTCCCTGTGGCATTCAAACACGATCCTAGGATTCAACCTGGAGGTCCAGGCTCCGAGCCCTACCCCACATATCAGCTCCATTCTCCCAAGCCCACCAAACCCACATGGGGCCCACTGCAGCACAATGAGCTCTTAGCCCACTGAGCACCTGGCTAATTGCAGCTAAATCTCTGCTGTGTGTCTATTTCAGGCACCAAAGCCAGCCTATTCTTAGCTCAGTTGTTTTCTCTCAGCCTCTTATTTGGACCATGAGGCTCTTTACAGTAGCCGGGTAAGTCTTCACCATACGGCTATATTTAGCATCCATCCAGGAGATGGGGAGCTAAGTCAGTCTGGGCCAGAGCCAAAGATTTTATAAACATTGTCAGCAAAGACCTGCTCAGCAGAATTACACAGATTCGCCGATGTCGGGGCCGCGAGATCTGCCCAGCCACAGGGCCCGGGGGAAAAAGCCAAATGGACACGCCTGCAAATACATGCCAATTTCCAGTCACCGTCTCTCCTTTATCTACCAGTCAGGACATGGGCGCCATGCACTGCGTTGCCCAAGCAACAAGAGGCAGCCGTGGGGGCAAACAGGCAGTTACCAGAGAAACTCAAATTTCAGCACTCAGGTCCTGACAGATAGATACACCAACAAATGGGAGGGGAGGTTAAATGCTTTTTTAGACCGTTAGAAATTACAGATGGACAGCTGGATGGATACCCACATCTGGGGGTAGAAAGCAAGGGACCCAATCCCATAGTTAATGGAACCAAACAAGAACTTTGCATAGGTGTTGACCCCTGTGACCAGGAGGGTCCCCAGCAGTTATAAGAAAGGGAGCCTTTATATTTAAGGGGTGTCCACCTAGATTTTATGAGCCTCCGTTTACATACCCAGCTTGGGGAAGATTCAACTTAACAAGCACTCACCTATGCACAAATCAGCCCAGAAGCACTAATTCGGTTTAGATGTACCCCTTTAATAACTTGGGTGAACATCTGCATGCAGCTATTTAGAGCACACGGTCCAGATTTCATTAACACTAGTAAAGGAGTGAATTCAAATCAAACCCAGGTGCTCTTATTCCAGAATAAGGCTGTGTCACTAAGTCTCCCAGATTGGTTCTTGAATAGTTTAAGCTTCCCCTCAACTGCTTGAAACTGGAAAAGTGCATCTACATGGCCTTGTGGGTGAGCGAAAATAAGTTGTTTAAAAAAAAACACCTTTAAATAAGGGAGAGTTGCTTGAGCCCTCGCTCTGAATCAATAATAGAAAAAATAAGAGTTCAAGAGTTGGCCCTGAAAAAAAAAATCTATTTTTTCTAAAAACCCTAAACCTACAACTTGCAAAGATTTATTTACACATACACACCAGCTGCAAACACCCACAGCACAAGGGAAAAAACGTAACAGCTACGCACACACACGCATTTAGCAGGGAAAGGCATTTTCCTAAGCAAGCAAGCTCTGACCTGGCTGCTTCTGCAACCCAAATACAAATGCTCAGAGGGGCTGTGTCTGTCTAGATCAGAACCATATGCCAATTTCATTTAAGGGAAGAGATTTTAAACAGTTTGAAACTGGCATAGACACTTTTATGGTGTTCCCCCGGGGTAGCTGCCTAAAATCAAATGTGAGCCAAGCTAAACAGCCCCGCACTGGGCTTTGCACCACCATAACTCAACTGGATTCGTTTAAATTTTAAACGAATCCATCAACAAAGCCTGAAAACAAATGGGAGGGATCAGAGAGGAGGCAACCCACTGGCGTCTCCCAGTGGCCAGAAAGCACATTTCAGCACCTGCCTATCAGCTAAACTAAGGTAAGAGGAAGTCAGACAGCCCCTCTTGCACTGCTGACTAAGTTTTAAATAGTTCCCCCCAGAAGGGAAAAAAAAAAAATCTACCGGCAGCAAGAAGATATTAGAGACCAGTCTCCAAAACAAAGCAAGTCACTCACATCACCCGATTCCCCCCGCACCCCCAACACACACACACACACACACACACGGCCGCATCCTGCCTTTAGTTGTTTACCAACACCTCTGTGACAGGCACACTGGGCAAACCAGCCAATCTGCCTGGCTTCCAGCTTTCCACCCTCCCGCTCCCAGCCTTGGCTGCCTTGCAAAACTTCCCCCTACAATAAACCAACCAGACAGCTCCGCGGGGGTGTGCCAAAAGCCGAGGGAAGGGAACCAGGCTCCGAGCATGCCTTGCCCTGGCAAAGTGCAACACTCGGCATAACCAGTTCCTGGGCAAGAACATTTTGTACTCGCGGAACAAATCCCATGTGGCAGCCTCAGCTGATTGCTGGGATGAGGAAGCAGCTCTGGAAGGCTGCGAAGGGGGAGGGAAGAGAAGAGGGGTGCGCCTGCAGCAGAACATACCAAAATCGGGGGAGTAATAGCAATGCAGTAATGGGAAGGGGACATTTCACA